AGCTTTTGAACAATGTCCGCTTAGTCATATTATTGTAAATAGTCTTCATATTCACATTAAAAACCATGCTAAAAACATGCTCTTACGAGAGGCTTAGCAATGTTCTATGAAATACAAAGGTTATATCGAGAAAATAGCTTAAAACTTTCACCCCAAATTGTATGTGCCCTGAAAGAATAAGGACCATAACCTGAAAATGAGGCATTTACGTTGAGTTGGCAGCAGCTGAGAACTCCGTAAATCTTATCAGCAATTTTTGATTAGATAACTTACTTTACTCCTTTTACTTTTTGCCAGGGTGCACGCGGCATGGACGGAGTTCAGGGAATGAAGGGTGAGCGAGGGCTTCAAGGCGGCTCAGGAGCTGTCGGCCCAGCTGGACCTGTGGGTCTGATGGGCCCGCCTGGGGTGATGGGCTACGAGGGTGAAAAGGGTTCGGTTGGACCCAGAGGAGCCCTGGGTGCTCAAGGACAACAAGGAGGAACCGGACTTCCAGGACCTATGGGTCCCACAGGGGCTCAGGGTACGTTAACAGAATATGAGTATGATTTTAGGCTAGCATAGTACTTTCCAAAGTCAGCCCTCATTATTTTTAATTTAATCTTATTTTTAATGTCTTAGCTTTCATTTGCTATCAAGTTACAAATGTTTAATATACAAAACCTAACTAAAATAGAAGGTCTGACTTGATAAGCGCTTTCCAAAGCTGAATCAATACAAGCGCCTTAAAATAATCCAATAAATTATGTCAAAAGGCCATATAAAAGTAAGAATAATTTCCTTAAGATGTATACAAGTGTAATATCCTCTAAGTACTTCTTATTAAAAAGTGTATAGACATGATTTTTATGAGCTTAACTAATTTGCAACGAAATATTTTGCATCAAAATCATATGTATAGTTGTCCCTAAATAATAAGAGAATGCTTTATGCATGGCCATTTTACTTGTTTAAAAACCCTTAGAATAGAAAAAACATTATCTTCTTCCACTTTAAAATTCGTATAAAAACGAATATTTAACATTTTGCAATAATAAAACATTGTAATGCATAGCACCGTTTAAATTATATCGTGCTATGCCTTGTTTATGTCTTTTTCTTAGGTTTTTTGAAGTAGTGTTTGGGGTTAAACTTATTCATATATATAAATATTTATATATATCAAATAATCTTATATCCGATTCGAAATTAAATGAGATTTTTTTGAACATTCATATATATATATACATATATATATGTATATGAGGTAAAGTTAGATCACATAAAAATTTGGTTTAGAATGCATTGGTTGACAATGTTTAATTAGATAGAAGATAGACTGCGCTCAAAATACACTGGCACATCGAAAATTACTCTTAATCATATTGTATAGCTCAATAATTCTACTTGAGTTCATCTTTCCATAACCAAATATTTTAATAATTTTTGCCTTCAGATTTTAGCTAGAATGCAAAGAACCCGGCTCTTGAATAAAGTTTAAAAATTGTCTGACCCTATTTGTTTTTAAATCTACAAAGTCTGAAGATGCATACCAGAGAGTATTCATGTGGTCAGCAAAATGTGGGGGGCAAAATGTAATGTAGGTGAAAAGACCATTAATTGATAATATTGGCTCATTTAACATTAAGCAAACTAGAGAGAAATACTAGTATTTAAGTGTTTACTTAAGTAATATTTGCGTTATGAAAAGTTCTTTGAAATTGGTTCTGAAATACTATAACAACTTTTCCTCGAAAATCTATGGATAAAACATGCTATTTTAATGCTGTACCTATGGTATCATAAAATATTATATTAAAATATTTTACTTTAATAATCTTAAATTTGGTGATAGGCGAAGAGGGTCCTACGGGACCACAAGGCCGTCTAGGTCGACCCGGTTTTCCTGGAGTAAAAGGTGACCCTGGACCAACAGGTTCCCCAGGTGGTCCTGGAATGCCAGGAAAGGATGGTCAACCTGGCGCGCTGGGTCCCATGGGACTATCGGGGCCTAAAGGGGTCAAAGGGTTCCCTGGAGAACGTGGCTCTCTTGGAAAACAGGGCACAGATGGACTAACCGGGCCTATTGGAGAAAGAGGAGAGCCTGGAAGGTCAGGGCAGCCTGGCCAACGAGGAAAAATTGGCGCGAGAGGTAGCCCTGGAAAACCAGGCCAGGATGGCACTCCGGGGATATTAGGAGCATCTGGATCCCCTGGACCACAAGGGATGATCGGCAATACGGTAAAGTGTATACCAATTCTATTATCACTGGCAGCGGAACGGGGAAATTAGTCTTTAAGATGTTTATTTAAATTGGGTTGAGCTATAACATTGAATGCACTAAATTGATGCAAATAGGACATGGAAAGAAATAGGAGATATCATTGCCTGCAAGTTTTTCTCTTAGAAATTTGAGTCAGGTGCAGGGACCGTAAGCTCGCGGGAAAACTATGTTATCCCATACACCAGATACGGAATTATGCGTGCAATGGTCTGACTTAGATTAATCATAATACACGAAAAAATCTGAATGTATCTGAGTCT